GGGGGGGGATTAGTGATACTCGCCTTCAGTCATAAAGAAGATGCCATTGAACAAATATTAAAAATATACCGTCTTTATGTTGTTTGAATGGCTATAGGTGAATGTGAAATTATTGCAATATAAAAGTATATTTAAAAACTTTAATGTTAGGTGTGTAATCTTTAACGCGACTGAAGTAATTGTGTAGCAGTTTTTGAGTAGAGACGTTTAAATTCCAAATAAGTACTTTTATTATATTATATTATATTATATTATATGTACTGTAGCAGGTCATTAGCTGGTGCAAGTAGGTTATTAGTTGGATCACCAACTACAATGTACCGAAAACCAGCGTGACCACATTAAACTGCCATGACCATCTGGTACTGAGCTGGTTTGTTGCTGTTACAAGATATTCTTCCAGCTTGCACCAGCTAATGACCATCTTGGATTAGCTAATGACTAGCTCAGACTAGATAGATACCAGCAACCATATTCCATATGCCATCTTGAGTTGGATTTTCCAACAAGAAGTATATAGTCTTTCATCAGAAAATGATGTTCATGTAAGTGTGGTCAATGGTATATCTCTATACAGGAAGGGTAGAGTTTCAAGAACAAGTATTTGCAAAAGAAGAATGTTTTAGACAATGAATCAGCAAATAAGCCTTGATAGTGCAGAGCATTTCAACTGCTGTTCTTTTGTTTCTTACTGTTTCACCAACGGGCACACTTAGACTAATCAGGGAGCATTTATTGCTGAATCTATCATTTTTCTTGAATAATAACATCTCTATTTTAGTCTTGAAGAGAGCTTGAAATCTTATGAGGGCTTGCATGAGAAAAATGAGAATGCCTCTGGTTGTTGCAGCACTTCACTGAGACAATTTGTTTAGATTTTTTTCTTCTGCTTCTCTTTTTGTCACAGGGACCTTGCGGTGATTGTGGCAGCCATGGCGTATAACTCATGGTTCACCAAACTCTATTGCAAAGACTTGCACATTGTAAATATCTTTTATGACCTTCTCAACAAGTTCTGTTTTGTTTTTGTTTGTTTCACTTACAAAAATAGTACTGTGGTATTATCAGGGTTGTATCTACATGCTGCTTTGGAAACTAATTTGATCGTAATGCAATCATAAGCTTTCTCAAGAATCATCTCTTATTATTATCAATGTTTTTGCAGCATTTTTTTTTAAGTTTGAAGTAAGATTTTTAAAAAGAATTAATGAATGCTTTTATTCGGCAAGTATGCATTAAATTGATCAAAATTGATCGTTTATTTTAAATAAATGCCGTTCTTTTTAAACTCTTTTCATTAAAGAATGTATGACATTTTGCACAAAAATATTGAACAGCAAAAACGTTTTTCAACATTGATAATATTAAGAACCATTATTAATAATTGAGCACCAGTAACAAGTGATAACAACTGCGCACCAAATCAGAATATTAGAATGATTTCTGAAGGATCATGTGACACTGAAAACTGAAGTAATGGCTGCTGAAAATGCAATTTTGCCATCACGGGAATAAATTACATTTTTAAATGTATTAAATAGAAAACAGTTATTATACAGTGCCGTGAAAAGGTTTTTGCCCCCTTCCTAGAAGAGTGGGCCAAAATTCCTGTGAAAGAGTCATTGCCATTTATCGCAAACGCTTGATTGCAGTTGTTGCTGCAAAGGGTGGCACAACCAGTTATTAGATTTAGGGGGCAATTACTTTTCCATGTAGTGCCAGGCAGGTTTGGACAGCTTTTTTCCCTTAATAAATGAAATCATAATTTCAAAACTGCAGTTTGTATTTACTCAGGTTATCTTTGTGTAAAATAAAAATTTGTTTGATGATCTGAATCTTTTAAATGTGACAAATAGGCAAACAATAAAAAAAACAGGAAGGGGCAAAAACTTTTTCACACCACTGTAAATTGTGTTAATATTTCACAATAGTACTGTTTTTACTGTATTTTTGATCAAATCAGCCTATCCCATACCTTTGACCGTTAGTGTATATAAAAATAGATCTTCATGTCTGAAATCTGTGATTACAGTCATTATGGTGAATCTTCTTGAAGAATCGAATTCTAGTGCTTTTCTCTTTTTTTCTCACACACAGAGTTCAGAGGTCGTAGAACAGATTCTGCACACTGTCAGTAAATCCAGCAGTCTGGAGGAGCTCACGCTAGAAAACGTGGGCCTTAAAGCGTGAGTTATAAATCTCTCTATTGCTCTCTTTCTGTTATTCATCACTCTGGCTACTTTACTCTCTTTCTTTTCATCTAAAAGTTCGTTTCTTGTTCTGTCACTGTCATTTTTCCCTTTATGCCGTTCCCAGTCTTATTCCCCTGTCACATCTTTGCCTCCATATTTCATCTCTGTCCAAGGGTGCAGTGCTTTGTATTGCGGTTCTGTTTCTACTCACTTTCTTTCTGTCATTTAGAGATTTCCCACAGAAAATGGCCACTGCCCTGTCAGAAAACCCAGCATCAGTCATACACTCCATTAACTTGGCCCACAATACATTGGACAACCAAGGTACATGCATCAAAGTCTCTCTTTATCTACTATACCTCTCTCTTCCCCTCCTCTCTGTCTATTTATCTGCCTTTGTCTGTTTTTACACTTTCTGTATCAGCATGTGCATCTGCTATTTCTGTCTCTGAGTGGGTGTTTTTTTTCTTTCTTGTCTCTGCTTTGCTGACTTATTGTGTTGCATCTGTTGCTGATTTGAAAATGGGTTCTTTTAGAAAGTGCTTTTCTAATGTGTGTGTTTTTATGTAATTTTGTATGTACTGTACAGTGTTTAGGGGGGCAAGTATTAGTAACACTACCATTTATTTTTACATTTATAAATAGCGTAAAAATAGAAGTACATTTGAGTCGACCAGTAGTGCCCTATGAAGTGAACTTCACAGGGTATTCGGCTGTATTATATCCCATAGTTCTCAAGAACAGCATTTATTAAATCAACATTATAAATGGCTTTACTATCACTTAAGTATAAAAAGTCCTGGCCCTGGTATTCCCTACACTATGGGGACTAAATGTCCTCACAAGTATAGTAATACCAGTAAATTTTGACTTTGTGGGGACATTTTTTGGTCCCCATGTGGAAAACATCTTATAAATCATACATAATAAACAGATTTTTGAAAATCTAAAATAGCAGAAAGTTCTGTGTGAGGGGTAGAGTTATAAGGGGGGTAAGGGGATAGATAAATACCATTACGTCTTTGGAATGTCCCCATAAAACATGGAAACCCAACATATGTGTGTGTCTGTCTGCTTGTCTGTGAGTGTGTGTGGTTGTGTATTTTATTTATAAATGTATAAATGTATACTTCTCCTTTTAAATAGCTTTAGTATAATTAGCTACTTTTTTGTCAGTAGCTTGTGGTGTTAAAGCAGCTTCCCCAAAACTGGTATGCCCTCTATATGCATCAGTGTCAGAGTTTCAGACTGCCATCATGCCTGACACATGTCATTGCTTGTCACATCACAAGTGTGCATTTGTGAACGTAACTACAACAACGTCAGTGTTTGCCTGAAGTTGTGTGATAATATGCTGTGTTTGAATTGGTCTATGACTGATCTAATGTGTTTATGAATGTGAATTTCCTTACAGGGGTGTCTAACCTTATCCAGCAGGTGTGTCGGCTCAGTAAAGGCTTGCGTCTACTTAACCTCTCCAAGACGTCGCTCTCTTCAAAGGGTGTGTGCAGAAGCTATGTGTCCCTGGAGGTTTAGTGCCCTCTGCTGGTTAAATCTATAACAAATATCCCACAATTACCATTCACTAGAAGTCTGAACAAGTAGAAGCCTTCAAAGTTCACGTGAGATCATATTTCCAATTAGCCCTTGCTGGTAGATGCCATAACTACACTAACTTTCTAGAAAAGTAAAAATTTCAAATATTTAATATTTAAATTAATTAAAAATATATAACAAAAATAAATAAATAAATAAAAAAATAAAATATATATATATATATATATAATGCAAATATAAAACTATGCATGTATACACACATATATAGTTCTGTATTTTTATACTTCTTATTATATTTATTAATATTATTATATTTTTATTGAGCACTCTATCTCAAAGATAGTTTTTGTGTGCTTAGAATAACTTCAAATACTTAAACTTAAAATATAAAATAAACTGAAATATAAACTTTTTTACCTAGCAGATCTACCTAGCTTACTCTGTTACACAATCTCTTTGTAGCATTTCAGGCTGTAAAATAACGACTCTCACTCCTCTGATCTAGAATCAGCTTCCTGTTCTCTCTTAAATCAGTGAGATTATCGATAGATTAGTTGCATCTGACATTAGAGCTTCAGAGTCGTGACCAAAGAGCCAGTCTTCTCTTGGAGAGCCCAGACTCAATTACCAGCATCCTTGGCTGCTTCCAGGCTTTGCGAAATCTCTGGTTTTCTCTTTCAATCAATACAGTTTTAAACCGAGTGGATAGAAGGATAGCCTTCTAACACGAGCCATGAATCAACATCCACTCAAAATAGCTCCCATCATTAATCTTTATTTTTAATCTGATTTGTGACAACTGCAGAAGTTTTAACTTTGAATACAGAACTTAGATGAACTTGTGCCATCAGAGAATACAACTCATTTCAAATTGAGATGTTTCATTTTGGCATCTGCCACATCCGGTTGGGATTTATAGCAAACTATGAAGTAAAGTCAGCATCCTATCAGCAGTAAAAACAGAATTTACACATCAAAAATGAACTACAGCTACCATAAAAGCAAAACCGAAGACGACTGGATCATGAAAGGTTGCGGTGGTTAACATTTTGATGAGTAAATTCCTCCTTTTAGAGAGTGCAATGGGATGTTTTTCTTACTCCCTGGTGAGAAAGCATACTGGTTGAGTTCACTGGCAAGCTGCCACCTAACAGAGTTAGTTGAGCTGTCTTTTTGTCTCACGCTACAAAATGCATTCACTAGCATTTTCTTCATGTATTTAGAAACAAAATGAAAATCCACTCTGCTTACAGAGCATCGTGTGTATGTTGTTGTGGTTTAGTGGTCATAAACAGTGGACTCCAAAAGTATGAGACCACATTGAAAATATAGGATTCAAAATGTCATTCAAAGATGGAAATACAAAGAAATGTTCGGGATTTGAAAAAAAATGTCAACGAAGTCACTGCCCAAATATGTATATTTGTGCATTGGTTTGTACTCCTTTGGACAAACAATCAGATCTTTTTGCTTTCATTAAAGCTCAACATGCTTCTTTTGCCATTCTCAAATCTTCCTAGAGAACATGATTCCTAGAGACAATCCGTTTTTCTTTTCTTTTTTATTTCTCTCAAATTCCTATGCAGAAGATTTAATTTGTAATGAAAAAAGTGTATTATTTAAAACATGCAAAATAGAAGCATTTTCTCTAGTGGACTTTAAATTTCCTGTGTGATTCAGCCTTTCTTTGTCTTTCTTCCCAGGTGTCACGTCTCTTTCTCAGGCCCTGTGCTCCAGTGATGACTACTCCAACTCTCTTCTTCATCTGGACCTGAGTAAGAACCCAGGGATTCTGTCTGGAGAGGATGCAACGGTTAGAACTTGCGTTTATCTCACTTTTACTTCTAATATTCTTTAATTAAGCTAATTACATTTACTATAGTTAAAGTTGTGGTGTAACTGTTAGCGCAGTATTGGCAAGCAATAATCTTAAATTTAACTGTAGCTTCCCTAGTTACAAACTACTCATAAATTAAACTGGTTAAACGTACACAACAATTATTTAAAAAGTAGGTACATTGGGGCCATTGTGAATTTAAATATGAAGCTATTAGTATTAAACAACATTTGAACATGTAAAAGAACCTCCAAAAAAACAAAAACAAAAAAAACAATTGAAAACATTAGAATTTAAATAACACAAAACTTATATATGTGGAAAACTGTTGAACAGCAGCATTGAATATGGATATTTATATATAATTAAATATTAATTAATAAAATATATATTTTCTATATATACTATATATATTCTTTTTACATAACAATAATTGACACAAAATATAGATTTTAGATTAGTATGATAATAGTTCCATTATAAAGCTTTGTCTTCATCATTGGGACCATGAGGTAGCACCTCAAGGTTTTTTTCTTTTTCTTTGTGAGGACCAACACTTGGATGCTGAAAATAACTCACACAGAGACAGGTACATGGTCGGTCCGTGTAGTTTTGCGTCCATTCTTTTTTGCTTTTTTAACCATGATGAAAAAAAAGAAAGAAAAAAAAGAACAGTTGTTGTATTTTTAAATGAAAACCAAAATTGAAATTAGAGCCGTACACATAAAATGCTGTGCGAAGAAGTAAAATATTGACTTATTTTCAGATTTTTGTTTACGATTGAGGAAATTTTATTTCTATATGAAATATTATTATTATCGGTATTATTTGCTTCACTATACTAAAGAGTGTGCTTTAGACTGTCTCTGAGTGCTTCGGTTTTGCTTCAGTATGCTTGAGTTTTCGATGAGCTGAGAGATAACAGG